TGGATCCAAATTCACCTTTTTTTTTTTTTTGGGGTTTACGAGCGGCAAGAAAAGCTTGAAAGAAAAAGTCAAAACAAATTAACTAGATGAGGAGTACTAGTGATTGCCCTCAGCATATGGTTTGTCTAGCAGAAAACCTTCTCTGCACCACGAAGCCACTTCTGGTATTAACACAACCTGCGACCCCGCAACGTGATGAGCTGCTCTAGCCATACTATATCTGCACAATGGTTGATCATATTGGGCTTACGTTGTTGCATTTTATGACTCTATATATAATACTACATCCGATTCTTAATACCACTTCCGTTCCTTGATAGAAAAGCCAGTTTAATTTGACATTCAATTAGTTCTAAATATAAGACTTTAATCTACTTTTTTCCAAGGTAGTCCTTGTACTAGTTGCACATATTAAATGTTCATCAAATATTAGTTCTAGTTAATATACATGATTAGCAATAATATTTTAAGAAAGATAATACCTTTTTATTACCAATAACAAATTCAACTAATTTCCTTAATCTATTCAAATTAGTCAACTAGTGCTTATATTAAGGACTAGAGGTAATATAAGATATATTTAACTAATTTAAATATATTAAGGAAACTAGTTATATGTATTATTTATTTCTCAAAAATATGTATTGATTTTCCTAAAATGTCCTATTAAATCATTTGCATTAAACCTTTTGATGCAAACTCCCTTAATATATGTAATGAATAAAGATAGTTTGAAAAAGAAAAATAAAATAGTATGCGACGCTTAATGGATTAAAGGTCTTATATTTAGAAAAATTTAATATAAGGGAAAATAATATAACCTTTTGAAGAAAAATTAAAATTCTTCTCTAAGTGTACGTGAGATTTTTTTTTTGTTTAACAGAAACAAAATCCATTAAGAGATTTTATATATATATATATATAATGGTTCTTTTCTTTGAAAGAACCAGGGGATTTGCTTTCTTTGAACTGATTATATGATCTGTTGTTTAACAAAAAGCAGAAAGAAACTGTTTTACAGTAGCAGATTTGGACACAAAGCAACAAATTAAATATAAATGGTTCAGATTTGATATTGAAAAAATGTTTATACATAAAATCTAGACCACCCTGATGTATCATCTATGGTTGGAACAATCACCATCACCACTATATGTTCTTGTTCCAATAATAACAGCAAATTAAAAAAAGTAAATCCAAAGTCCAAAAATCAGATTCTATAAAGAAAATCCAAATATCTTCAGCATTTAATTTTAAGACATGAAAAGAGACCTGCACGCACATATAAACAAGGCATCCTCAAACAGTGTTTTGACCAAAACATGAATATGGGTGAGATGATGAGTAAGGCCAAGTTGTTGTTCCTGATGGCTCTTGTCTTGTTTTCTATCTTCGCATCAGAGGCCAGACCCTTCACAGAGTCACCAGTGCCACATAATAATTCTGAAGATTCTCGGACACGTCGGCTCTGAGTAGGATCAATTATTCTGGGCCTAACCCCCCAGGTGGAGGACATGCTGGAGGAGGGGGAGAGGGACCTCCCAACAGCCTGAATGCAAAAATAAATTATTGAACCTATCTGCCATTATATATATTTTATTTCTCCATGTAGGTAGAAAAAGAAGATTATGCCAAGTGGCAAGGGTATAGTGGGTTATGAGTTCAAATCCTCTTAATGTTTCCAACAATAAGAAATGAAAAAGAACATGTTTCTCTCTCTTTAAAAAATTTTTTCTCCCCACCGTCTGCCCATTTCTTCTTCTAACAAGATTTTACTTGTGTGAAAGAAGTTTTTTTTAAAAATAAATTGATCAATTATATACGAAATGAAGAAAAATTATGCAGTGCCAATTGATATCAATTTTTCTGAGGTGCCATTAAACTCAGAATGGGCATTAATCAAAGTTTTCTTGTATGCCATGATATCGAGGTTAGTTTGGCCCACAAAAAAGACATTGATGTGGGTCAAAAGAAAAGTTGATATCCCATAATACCTTAATTAATAACTCACATTTATTTACATGAAATTGCACCTCCGTGACCGCGAGATACAACGATTGTTTTGTAATCACCAAGTAAATAAAAAAATGCAAAAACTTAGTATTGATACATTTATTGAAATTAGGAATTGATATTATGGCCAAAAAAATAGGAATAAATATTTATTGAGATTTCATTGTAATTAATTTTAACTCCAATACATATGGTAGGGTCTAGTTAAATAAGAGACTCAACCCCTAATTAAAGTTCGGACTTCAAACTTTGTAAATAAAATATGTAACATACCTTATACTAGAAATCTTAATTAATGATGTCTAGCTATTTACAAACCACTCGTGAGTTATTCGAATCTTGTGAAAGACCAACTTTTAACAAATTTTCTAGAGAACTGCACGATTCTAATGCTCATTTGTTGAAACGGTATTTTTTCTGAAAAACTTCACATATTCATAATTAAGTCATCAATTATAAATTCAAAATCAGCGGTTCAAACTCTAACTTTAAGCTCTTTGGCAGTTCTTTACAATAAATTTAGAATCGGTTTCATTTCTATATACCCCTGGTCCAGAAATTCTTATCTTTTCAAACTATGCAGGTTAGCTTTGTTGAATTAATTACTAGATTTCCTGTCCTAACTTTATCTTAACTTCTAAAATAAATAATCTAATTCATGACTATTTCAAACTAATTTACCTGTATATATAGTCTATTTCAAGATTGACAAATCTACAGGCGTATAAATCTGACAGTTTACCAACATGCTATGTCTCCATTCAGCTTTTACTTCTTATATATGGAGACATTTACAACCCAAAAACACATTTAGATTTTACAACCCAGAACGTAATTATAAAACGTTAAACTAACTCATAAAAGTTTAAAATTCAAAAATCATAAAAACGTGCTTTCTTCCCATCCACCTTAGCTATATATAAAGCTTCCCGCAGCTTCTCTTCTCTTTTCCCTTGGATACATTATGGATCCTATGGTTTATACACGTACGATTCATTTTTTAAGAACCAGGGGATTTGGTTTCTTTGAAATGATTAACTGTTGTTTAACAAAAGTAGAAAGAAATTGTTTCATAAACCAAACCAACAAGTATAAATAGTTCAGATTTTGTATATCTTTTTCGCTAAAAAAAATATTTAACCTTCAGCAAAACTTTCCACAAAGCTTGCAGTTAAAATAATGCCAGTTTTATTTTGTATTTCTCAGGATAAAAAAATAAAATATTGATAACAGTTTATACATAAAATCTAGACCGCCCAGATTTATCGTCCGTGCATGGTTGGAAAATCGGCACGCATCATACTATATGTTATTGCCTAATAACGGCAAATTTAAAAAGATAAATCAAAAGTTCAAAAGTCAGATTTGGTAAGTAAACGATATCCAAAAACATCTTCACTATTTAAGGGATTTGATAGATACTGCTTTTAATTAATTCAGTAAGATATCAAAAGACCTACACACACACACACACACAAGCCATCCTTAAACAGCCCTTAGCACCAGATTCTCAACTCACTACTCTGATAGCTATATATTAACTTTTCATTCAGATCAGTGAGACCGAAACATGAAGGTGTGTGAGATCAGTAAGCTCATAATAAAGTGCTTCCTGGTGGTTCTTCTCTTGTATGTCTTCGGGCTTCATCAAGTCAGAGCGCATACCACTGTTGACAAGGGCGTCAGTGCCTCATAATTCTGAGGATTTCTTGGACATGTTGGATCTGAGTGGGATCAATGATTGTGGAGGACATGAAGAGGGACCGCCCAGCAGCGTCTATTGAAGCTATCTGCCTGGCATTATATACACATACGTAGAAAGAATATTATGTTGAGTGGTAAGGGTAGGGTAGGTTATGGAGGGATGTTAAGGATTCAAATCCTCCTAATGTATCCAACAATTAAAAGTATAAAGAAAATAAAAGACTACGCTTTTTTTCTCTTAACTTTCTCTCCTCCAATATCTGTCCTTTCAGGAGGTCAGATATTTCTAAACTTTAAATCCTAAACTCTAAATTGAGATTTCAAATTAAAAACTTTCAACTTCAGAATACCAAAAATGGTTGGGTCTAGTCAAAATAGACTCAATTATATATCCTTAGCTGCTTGCAAACATTATTGATCTAATGCATGTAGTTTTCCAAAAACAATATTTATTAGTGTGTAATCATCGATCCACTATTCGCAAATAATGTTAATAATAATGAAGTTCCTATAATAATATTAATAATACTTTTTATAAATTTTAAAACGTAAAATTCCACAACAATCTGAAAATTTTGCCTTTAGATGTGTTAAGTCATCAATTTCAATGTCTTCTTTATGGGTTGCTTGGCATCGGAAGTCTCAGACATGGGGCCTTGGCCACCACTTTTTCTTTCGCGACCCCTTTAACATAACAGTTCTATATCACTTTCCAATAATGGCCTTCAAGACAATCAATTATCCTAATCTCAATTTTTTCATGCTTTAATTATAATTCACTATTTACATGTCACCAGATGTCAAAATCGAGTTATTTTAGGTTAAAATAATTTCTTTTCCTTCTTTATAGTCAAATATCAGGATGAAATAATTACTAGTCAGCAGAGGTCGATAATAAAATATAACACATACATATTGTATATGTATAATGTGTGTTTGCGTGTGTCAAGTTTTTCCCAGAAAAAAGAAATCTTTTCCTTTGCCAAACTGCCGGCCTTTAATTGCTGGAACGAATAATTCAAGGATTAGGTAAAATTAAGCATGCTTTTAAATAAAACATAAAGAAAAAAATTTATTAGACGAATACACATGCCATTCATTTACTCTTTCAGAAATTTAAATGTTAATTATTTAGTCAACGATTTAATTTTAATATAACTTTTAACCTCAATAAGAGAAATGGCATTGTTGTAGTTACACGTAGCATTCATTGAGAAAAATGTAATTTCATTCGAAACTCGCCCTCCCTACTGGCCTACTTATTACATAAACCTTCAAGAGCTCAAAAGCTCCAACACAAAGAACAGTCCGACAACAGAAGCAATCCACCATGATAACCGAACGCCTTCATCTCCTCTTCCTCTTCCTGGCCACCGCCTCATTCCACTGCCTCCGTCAATCCGGCGCGCGCACCATTCTAGTCGACCCCACCACCGACTCCAACCCCAGCGCCGCCACATTCATCCGCACAAATTGTAACGCCACCCTCTACCCCGGCCTCTGCTACTCCTCCCTCTCTCCCTACTACAACGCCATCCAACAGGACTCCGGCAAGCTCGCTCGCGTCGCCATTGCGTTGACCCTCACTAAGGCCCACCGCATGACCTCCTACCTCTCCGGCCTCTCTCGCGACGCCGACTACAGCACCAACTCCCGCGCCGCCTCAGCTCTCCGGGACTGCTTCACCAACCTTGGGGACGCCGTCGACGAAATCCGCGGCTCGCTCAAGCAGATGCGCCAGTTAGCCATCATGGGTGCCGGCGGCGAGCAGTTCAGGTTCCAGATGAGCAATGTTCAGACGTGGATGAGCGCAGCACTGACGGACGAGGACACGTGTACGGACGGATTCGAGGATGTGCCGGAAGGTGCGGTGAAGACGGACATATGTGATCGGATGAACTACTTGAAGGAGTTCACCAGTAACGCCTTGGCGCTGGTGAATAGTTACGCGAACAAGGAAATGCGTTATTAGATATTACTTTCAATAATTACTACTAATAATTAGTTATTAATATGTAGCAGTAACAGTGATTAGGGTTCCATCCTTAATTTTCCTTCCAACTTTACTGTTTACATGGTGATTTTCTGTTCTTGTTTTGGTGAACGTGTGAAAAGTGTGTCCCTCTTTAGTTAAGTCAAATGTGAATTATGTGTATCGCATTCTTCTGTTTTTAATTTCTCTCAAATATATATTGTACCCTTGATTAGTGGTTGTGTGGCATTTTTGTCTCTTTCGAAATTATGAATTACCCCTTTCGGTCTTGAACATGAGAACATGCGAAGAATTGGATTTACTCTTAAATTTAAAATGTTAATAAATTTTCTATTTTATATTTTTCATTTTTCTTAAGATAACTTACAAATTGATATATAATCTAAGCGTTATATAGAAAGATTTTAAAGAGATCATACCACATTTGTTACAATTGACTAATTTATCTAATTTTTCTCTTATATTAAGAATTGGGAGCAGTACATATAACAATCACAGTTATAAGAAGGTAAGGCAGAAGAAAAGAAGGTGGAAGTGAGAAAGGAAAATGAGACATAATACCCCACCAAATCCAAAAGTGATTGTGTTATGGGGAGGAGTGATAGCTAATTGCGCCGATGAATGCGTCACGTACATACGAGTCTCTTTGATTTTCAAAATTTGTTCTTGTGTGAAAACTTCATCCAAATTGCCAAATAATTGAGAAAATGGTTAACAGATGGATGGACGGAGGGGTTAGAGGGCACGTGAAGGTAGCCTTTGATGAGGGGGAAATGTTATATTGGCGTCTGTATTAGTGGTATCCAATGAAATGGGCTTCTGTCATTGGGATTTAATGGATGCAAAAAGTCTAAATAAACTGTTTAATTAATTTTAAATGGTCCAAGGGCCATCATTAATTAATTAACTGAGTTTGCAGGGTCCACTATCTAGTACGAGCACCGAAATGCGTGTGTAGTTATAGCCTTATGTACAGTGGGTGGAGGCTCATAGTCATAGCCATGCCACATCGCTCTTTCACACTCGTTCGTTTTTATCTATGAGCTTCAAATTTAAAAAAGTTATGATTTATTTTATAAGCTTTAATTTGACTTTGTGTTAATATTTAATACATTTTTTCTATTTTGTCATTAATTATTTATTTTCTCTCCTTTGTTACTCTCTCAGTCTCTCCTATCACATTTCTAACACATTCTCCTAAATCATTTTCCTTATTTATTATAAGAGTGTATTTGAAAACAAAAATATATTTCTAACTTACTTGTTACTTTTAACAAATTTTAACTAATGGTTCATAATCTGTAAATTAGTTATTTAAAGTTTACTCCTTTGGTCCTATTTATGAGACATTGAGATTTTTACATGGATATACAATTAACAATTTTATCATTTATTTATTATTGTGTTGACTTTGTTTATATAAGGTATAATATATATTAAATAGGGATAAAGTTAAAAATTTGTTAAATTTAAATGAGAGTTAATGAAATTTAATGTTTTCTTCACTGTGTGAAATATATTAGAAATGACTTATAAATAGAAACAAAAAGTATAAAATAACTGGAGGGACTATGTCTCTTACTTTTACTGTAAATGAAATCTCTAAAGCAGTGGGTATGAATGATTATAGGCACTTGAAAAAGTTTATATTCCGACTGCCACAAACTCTCTTTTGTATTTCTTACTATTCTTCAGGCCAATTCAAAAAGTTAAAAGCTCCATCTTCCTGTGATGATTATTCTTGTATCATTACTGACATCTATCTTAAATATTCATCATTTCCCTTTAGCATAATGACTTCAGCTTTTTCTTTTTCTTATTATTATTATTATTATTATTATTTTAACATGGTGCCTTGTGGCTTGGACCCTTCAAATTCTCTCTAGGCAACAAGCTTACGTGTCCGGTCCCTTCAGGGACATCTGGTAAAACTGGAATCATATATACAGAGCCAGTATGCTTATCTCAAGACAACACCGCCTCTTCTTACAAACATGTTATAAACAGCCACAGGGAGGAAATGATTTATATAAAAGAAAGTAAAAGGCCGGAGATAAGAAAAAGGAGTTGGGCCCAATCCACTTCTCTCCTGTGTTTTTTTTTCCAGCAAGAACAGTCCAAATAAATTAGAGATAATGAGCAAAACAACATAATTATGATTCCTTTGAGCACATCTGATAATATAAGTGTCGTATATAATTGAGAAACAAAGCAATAAACTATGGATATATAGTATAACTCTGTAGCGGCAATGGATTGAAGTGAGATTGTAACTTGTATGTATATACATGTGATGAAAATCAGAACCACTTTTGGTGCTTATTATAGTAATGAACATTATGATTAGGGCTGGTAATATCGGCCAACTCGTGAGTTGTGGGTTGGCCTGTGACGATTTGAACCCATAGTCGTGTTGAAAAGGCTTGTTCGAAGGTGAGTTAACCCGCCAACACTTATTTGTTTGTTTTTTTTTTGAAATTTTTTTTACTTTTTAATATTTTTTTCTTATACAATATCCAAAAAATATAATAAATTTTTTATTTTTTCTTAAACATTTGATTGAAAGCAACAAATAAATTATATGGGTTTTTTTATTTTTTTAGATAAGATATAATAGATAATAATATAATTATAATAATTAAAAAAAATTTAAAAAATAAAAAAAGTAAATGCGCAGTGGGTTTCGAGCCTGACGGTGTTGGTTAAAAAGAATCATTAACTAGCAGGTTGGCCAAACCCGCCATTTTTGACAATTTGGACCCGCGGGTTCAACTTATATTATCAGCTTTAATTATGATATTCATCACTGTGGTGAAATCTATATCATTCAAATACGGTTTTAATGGTTTAGATTTAAAATTTCCAACTAATAATTTTTAACTCAAAAATTGTTTTTTTTTAAAAATGTATAGTTAAGAGATTACATTTATTTTGGGTTATATACCATTTAAAAAAACATTTTTCAAAAAACAGAAGTTTAAAAATTTAAATCTTAGTCATTCATATTAAACTTGAATAGTTGAGATTTGATAAGCATCATGGTACTTGTTATACGATGAGTACCGAAGCTAATTCCGATGAAGATCGGATATAGTTATAATACCAAAAGTCTCCTGTTGAGTTTGATATATACAATGCTTCCATTAAGAGTAGCAGCTTGTAACGCATGAACTCATCAGCGGTTGTTAAGAATATTAGGCCCAATATGAGGGGTTGTGTATAGGTGTGCACACATAACCTGAACCTTTGTTTTTCTTAAACTAGATTTTGAGACAAATTCAAATTGAAACTTATAAAATAAACTATATCTTTTTTAAATTGAAATTAAAAATTAAAAATAGAACTGGAAGCATAACCAAGAGTGGTGTAAAATAAAGGGCCATCTCTTTTTTTTTTTTTAAAAAAAAAAAGTTTATACATTTTTTAACTAAGATTTCTAATTGTATTATCGATGTTCATTGGTTTTTGTAATTTGGCCAGACAATAATGCCTTACTCAACATAGGCTTTCCTAATTAAATTGAGAAATCCATATTATGTAAATTATCTCAGCTACCCAGCTATCTAATTAACATATTCATAGATTATGAACGCTATACAAAAAAACATAGATTTTCTCGCAGGCTTTTCCCTCAAGAGAATTGAATTCCCTAAGCTTTTATCTCTTGGATTTCTTCTCGTGAAAAGAAACTTTTAAAAGATTAAAAAGATAAACTAGAGAGAAAAGAAAACCATCAAGAACTCTACAAGTAGATATCTCTCCTACTTAATTATTATACACAAGAGAATCAACTTAAGTCACGTCTAGCTTGTTAACCCTCACTTGCATGCCCTACCTAAAATGTGATATATCTCACGTAAATGTTGGCTACGCCAAAAACTAGACTCGGTTAGTTTGAATTTTCTATGGTCCAATATTGGTCCAAATTCCAAGTTTTCTCCGTCAAAATCTGTTGATCATTAATTGATGTAAATTCTTTTTCTTCAATGTTTTATACTCCGTGCGATTCAAAATATAAATATCAAATAAAAAATTTAAACAATTCAAAAAACATTGGCTAAAGATAATAAATGTTTAAAAAATGTAGTTTATTTTCCTAAAACACTCTTACTTATGAAGAGGGTCAGTGGGAGAGAGAATGAGTGAAAAAAGAGATGAAAGAGAATCAGTGAAAAAAGATATGAGAGCGACATATAATTAATTAGGAATGAAAATTGAAAAACTGTATTAAATGATCCAACAAGCTCAAATGAAGCTTATAAAAGAATCAGATCCTTTGAAAGATTTGATTATTATATTTTGAATCAAAGTGAGTACTACCTGTTGATTATAAAATCCCAATCCATTTTGTCTCTCATCTTTTTTCAAAATATCTCTGTTGATTGTAAGAGGTATTTACCAAAAAATAATTCCAATCATCCAATGCACATGATTGAAGATGATGGTTTAGGAAATTGTGATAAATAATCAATTTAACTATATCATTTTCTTAATATCTCTAAATTAGTTATTTAGCTCTTATCTTAAGCATGGGGGATAGTATTTTCTTAGAACTTGAATTCTTTCTAGTTTGTCTCCCACGCCCGACTTACGCGCCTTTCAGCGTTGAAGAATTGAAGTCATATTTGAAGCAATATGGGAGAGAACTGAACATTGAAAGAAACCAATCCATCACCAGAGGATTCAGGGAAGCTTCCATTACTTTTTGCATATTGAATACTTAAAACCAATCGAAATCAATCTATGCAAATATTTCGCACTTTGCCATGGATACGTCTGTGCGTGTATTAATTATTGATTCACGAATATGTTTATCAATCTTTCATTCTTAATTTTTCTTCAAATCTCATTTTTATTTTGTGTATCAAGGAATCATAGATTACGAACAAAAATTAAATTAATTTCCTTTTGTGTCATATATTTCACACTGCCATCGTCCATCGGGTAATATATAAAGGAGCGTATTAAAATTCTTTGTTAACATATACTCTACATATATGCATAGAAGTGTCTTCGTCCATTGAACATGAAGAGATACAGTCACTTATTTTCAAGCCAACAAGCAAATGCATCCGATCGACACTTCCAATCAAGGCCATATATATGTGGAAATATATTAGATTTGATCATTTGATGAAAGGGAACTTATTCACCTTTCATTCACAAATATATGTATATAATAAAATTGTAAATTAAGCGAAGTATATAATAAAAATAAAATTTGTTCTTTTTAAATCTCTTCGTATATATTTCATGTACCAAATGATGCTAACTTAGTAACATAAATTATTTTTCTTTTACGTCGATATAATTCCATTCCATATGTATTAAGATCGAAGATTTAGGACGCATCCTTGCGGCTATAAGTAGAATTCAAAAATCAAAACAATACCGGATGGCATTATTGTAATTATATGAAAACATAACGGGCAAATTGGATTCCCACACCACTTCGAATCCTATTTAAACCCGGCCAGTTTGATTCGATTCTATTACCCGAAAGCGTCGAAGCGAAGTAACTGACGATGAAAGCCCTAAGCCCTCAGCTCGTCTCCTTCCTCCTCCTCGTCGCAGCCACATTCCACCTTCTCCCTTTACCCTCAACTGCCACCGCCACTGGCGAAGCCCCCGCCCCCGGCCCCGTTTCTGTCAACGACGATTTCATCCGGTCAGTTTGCAACAACACCATGTACGCTGACCTCTGCTACTCATCCATCTCTCCTTATGCGGCTGTCATCAAGCAAGACCCCTCTGCACTGTCTCGTGTCGGCGTCACAGTGGCTTACTCAGTGGTCGGCAGGGTAACGACCGATGTCACCGGTCTCTCCCGCCAAGCCAAGGGCAGCGCCGCGGCCGCGATCAGCGACTGCATTTCCACCCTTGGCGACGCCAAGGATGGAATAAGTGACTCGTTAGGTCAGCTCCGACAGATAGAGGCCGGCCGAAGCGGTAATTTCAAGTTTGCGATAGACACGGTGCTGACGGAGATGAGCGCGGCGCTGACGAACGAGGAGACGTGCACGGACGAGTTCCAGGATGAACCGGAAGGTCCGGTGAAGAAGAAGGTAATGGATAGCGTGACGGAGGCGAAGAAGTTCACAAGCATCGCCCTGGCGTTTGTGAATTATTACGCTCAGAAAGGTTCGCCCTAAGAATTAGTTCCTGAAACTTTCCTTTGATTGATTCACTTGCCCAGAAAATTATAGTGTTGAGATTTCTCTAATTTTCTGATTGAATAAAACGACGATTAGAATATCAAATGTGAATTTGGGATCAATTAATCTAATAGAGTTATACTTTTGCTTCTTTCAAAATAAGTATTTAGTTTTTATTTGAATGAATGTAACCATGCACTTTTTTTTTTTTAAATTTTGCTCGAATTAGATGCTTTTAAACATTATTTTGTTCATGTTCATCGTTACTTTCATTTTGTTCAAATGTGATATTTTAAAATTTAACATGTACTCAAATATGTGCCTTTATTGCTGTTAATATCCATCAAATTATAATGTTTCGCTTCATTCGTGGCTTGTTGGTGATTCAACTTTGGTAACCTTTCCATCAAATATATCTGATAATCTTCCAACAAAAAAAACCTGATAATCTTATAACGAAGAAAAGCTAAATTTCTATCGAAATAATATTGTGCTCTGAAAATAAAATTTATAAGAATTGAAGATAACGGTATTTTAGCCTAAAAATTGCTCAAGAGAATTTTCATTGCTCTTCAGTTTATATTTCTACATGGAGTCGAGTCAATCGGAGGGTTGAGCACGTCAGGCAGACCCAATTATTTCCCTCCAAATTTTTGCAATGTTTTTTTGTTGATTTTTTGTTCACACGCTAATTTGTAGTCAATATGTAGAAAAATTAGGTAATTCTCATGAAGGAATAGAAATAGCCATTTCAGTTTCGGACGATATTTATTCTCATTAATGAGGAGCACTAAATATGCAATTAAATTTATTCAAGGTGTTACAATCACAGTGGAACTCAATAACGAATCAATAATTTCGATATTAAGGTGCACTAAATTACAAATAGCGTTCTAGAAAAAATTTATGATCCTAAATTCCTAGCTATAAGGCAGTTTCTGTGAGTTTTTGGAGTACTTAATTAATACTCCCTCCGTTCCTTATTATAAGAGACGAATAACCGAATTACGTTGATCAAAACAACAGTTAAAATTACTTAAGAATAATCAATGTGTAAAAGGTATAATTTTTTTTCCAAAAAGGCCCTCATTAATAAGGAAAGAGAGCATGAAAGAGAACAATGGTAAATTATTCAAAGAAAGAGAAGTGGGAAGGAGAGAGAGTGTGAGTTGGAGACAATAAATATGGGTAAAATAGGAAATCAACACAAAAAAATAGAGACAACTTTTAAGTGTCTCTTATATATAGGAACATGCCATAAGCATCAAATGTCTCTTATAATAAGGAACGGAGGGAGTACTTTTCTCCAAAAATGCGCCTCTTTAAAGAGTGTAAAATGAGTATATAATTTATGGAATAGACCAACTTGAAAAGCAATAAAAATATAGAAGAGAGAGGATTGAGCAAGAGGAAAAAGTCTTCTTAGCATATTATTCCATTTAAATGGCCTGGCATACCTTGTATTTATAGGCAAAGAGTTAGCGGATAATAAAGCCTATGAATGTGGATAAGAGTTGAGTCACAAAAGTGATGGAATAGAAGACGGTGAAGATACTTGAGAAATGATGAAGATATAACAATGAGATGGGCATCCACATAAAAACTCTTGATAATTTTAATTGAGAGTATTGAAGACGAATTTTATAAATTAATCGCCTTTTCTAAGTTTTACTGAATTGATCATTATAAATGACTCATAACCAGAAAGTATACACTACATGAAGAATATCAAGGAATTAACCAATTTGGGCATTCGGATTTAATAAGGCGCCACAATTTAAAAAAATCATAGTGGCAGGGCAATAAAGTAAGAATAGTCATTTTTACAATGAATGAATATTATATATAGATAACAACAACAAAAAAAAAACCTAGACTGGTAGAGAGAATTCCTAGTCCTGCACATCTATACCTAAACTGTAAGCAATTTTGCATATCATAAAATTTAAGTCTCGTTCTTGTTTAGTGTATGGAGGACGATTGTCTCTTTCATTGTGTACAAAATTTTTGCATAGCATAAAATTTAAGTCTCGTTCTTGTTTTTCATGCAAAATATGTCTTTAAGGTTACTAAGAAAAGCTAATTGCGTTCCAAGACTAATAATGATTCTATAAGTTATTGTTTATTTACATCTTTTATATGCTACAAAATACATGCACAGGAAATTAAAAAAATACTATAACTATGTTTATTTTCATTGTCATAATTATTTATAAAATTCTATATAAAAAGTAATCAATTTAATATTTATTCAATGTTTTAACTTATGTCAATTTTTAAAAATTTCAATTGTATTACTTATCTTTTTTTTTAAAGAAAATCAAACTCATTAAAAATTTCTGTCCTCCCTCTCCATCCCCTCCAATAGCTCTGTGCATCAAACATGTAAAATCTAGTCAAGTTGTAATATTTTTTAGGGAAATTTGTTAAGAAAAATTCTATATTAAAAATTTGATTGGTGAGAACAACTAATAATTTATTATACACAAAATTTTCATATTCTTATAAATATTGTATACAGAAAATATCAATACCTTGATTTAGGTTTCTCAAATTATCCCTTTTGTTTTAACACATATGAATTAGGATTTGAACTTTTGACTTCTAACTATACCATTTGAGCTATCTCAAGTAACAGCTTAAAAAGTACTCTTCCGGTTCTAAATATAAGACCTATTTTGCAGTGTAAATTACACTGCAAAATAATTCTTATATTTATGTTCGGAGTAGTATTTGTTATTATAAGATAGTTGTGTATGATTGAGGGGAGGGCCAAGGGAACATAGAATCATAGAACACTTAGAAGAATATGGACAAAAGGAGGATCTTGCGGGATTATGGTTTATACACAAGTAGAGCCGGGAAAACGGGCCGAGCCCGTCGGACCGGCCCTTTTAGGCCCTGAAATTATGAGGGCCGGGCTTGATATTTTTTTTTAAAATGAGAAATAAGCCCTGGAGAGCCGCAGGCCGGCCCTTTTAAGCCCTTTTATAATTTTTTTTATTTTTTAAATTTTTTATATAATATTAATGTTATTAATTTTTTACATTGTTAATAATATTTCAAATATTTAGGTATTATTATCATTTTAAAATTAAATTTAGTTTTAGACAATAATTTATCCAATTAAATTTTTAAAAAGTGGGTTAATTTGAACTTTAATAATGATTTGATTTATATTATATGCGTTGATATTTTTAAACTATATATATATTTGATAATAGAATATTTTTATACTTATATAACTTGTGATTCTATAATTTGAATTAGAAATTCATGAGTTTCAACAACAATGTTTCTCTCATTAAAGTAAAATAATAGTTAGATTGCAAAGTTTAAAAATAAAATTCTTATAAAGAAGAAAAACTTGATATTTTTGTTACGAAAGAAAAGCATACTTATGAAGAAAAATAATTAATTATAGTGATGATGAAGTTTCAAAAGATTAATGATAGTGTTTATTTATTGCACAATTGCATTATAGATAAAACTTTTAGATGTTGTTATCTTGTTAATGAATGTTTTAGATGTTCTTAGATGTTGATGAATATTTATATATGATAATATTTTATATTTGTGACTTAATTTTATTCATATTTATGTCTTTTATTAATAATTTTATTGGTTTATTTTTATATTTTTATAAAAAAATATGATAAATATAAAAAATAGTATTTTTTCTTAAACGGGCCAAAAGCCCGCGGGCCGGCCCTGGCCCTGTAGTTTAAGGGTCAGGCCTAGCAAATTGGGGTATTTTTAAAATTTCAGCCCTGAAGGGCCGGCCCTGGAGAGTCGGGCCAGCCCTGATTCCCGGCTCTATACACAAGACAATAGAAAATAGAGGGCTTGCCCCACTCAGGCCCTCCTGACCGACCCGGCCGGAACCTACCAGGTCCAATATGTGCCATTCTTCTCCTCCATTCCAATTATGGTTTGTTGATCTCTTTTGACCAGTCTTTTCGTCTCTCCATCTTCATTTGTACTTATCCTTCAAGTCTTCTTGAGCCCAGCCTGGTTTTGTTTGCTCGATTCGAGAAGAGTCATACAAGATACAGAACTGGCCTCTGTGAAGTTGGAACCATTTATAAATTCATTCTTAAAGGATACAATAATTGGTGCAATTCGATTCGAATAACATTTACATATATATATATATATATATATATATATATAAAGAAAGCAACTTGTGTCCTCCCAAATGCAAAATATAATTGTTACGTGGTTGACCTTTATAGGTCTTCACTCCTCTGCAGTCTGCACATACGACAAGAGTGAAACACTTGTGAATATATTAAAGTTCCACAAATTAAAACGATGTAATTAACAAGTCAATGTCTTCTTATTCAAACTCCTTATATCATCACACCTCTTCCGAGGCCTATGGATAGTTTCAACTACCATACATATATAATGGATAAACATGTTTCTCGAAAACACTTTGTCTCTAATATTTTACCTTTACTCACTTCCTAGTTCCTACCTAATTAAGAAAATCAAGGTATATAACCCTTTTAACTTTCTCTTTTTTCCCCCTAATTTTTATGATACGGTAAAGGGAGTACTTATTTTTGTAAGGAATAATTACAAACTACCCGCACATTCATATATCTACATCCTTCCTTTATAAATAAGGGAAATTCGCGCACACCACATGATCCATAGACATGGAACTTGTTTCTCTCTCTCTTTCTTCTTTTATTTTTAAGCGAACGCGAAGTTACTTAGCACTAGGCCATTGGCATTGGGAATATCTTCAAGTGGTTGAGAATACCAATTTGAATTGAAAATACATATAAATAACAAAATTTCTAGTGCTGGTTTAACTAATATTTTATATATATATAGGGTTAATATAATCTTTGGATCCTCAAGTTTTAAACCATAGCTTATGGTTCCTCAAAGAGTTAAATGGTTCCGATTTTTATTGAATTATAAGGACTAATATTTTAAATGAAAAGAAACTTGAAAAACTAAAATAAAAATGATAGCAAATTTGAGGAGAAAAATGTATTAACATATATACTACTTCCGATCCTTAATATGAGATCTTGTTTGACTTTTTTTTTTGTTCTAAATATAAGGCTCCAACCCACTTTGTCTCTTATATTTATTAATTTTTTTCCTAAGATAGTCTTTCTAATAATGATAGTTCTAACCAATAAGTTTGATTAGTAAAGATATTTTATAAAAGACAATACCTATTTATTACAAATAAAAAAGTTAATTTATTTTCTTAATATATTTAAATTAATCAACTAGTTTTTATTTTTAGAATGAGGAAGAGTATATATACAAATATATAAAAGAAGACTTTGACTCGAATGCAAATGCTCTAAACGCATAACAGTTGGCAACTGGCGTAGCATTGATGATCCCGTATGCTTGCCTTTATACTATTCATATGCCCGTTGCCCACTTGCTGGTTAAAATAAAATCTGCCATCATATGCCCACTTTGAAGTCAACAAATCTTTTTGTTGCCTTAAAAAATGACATGTCGGCATTTAATTTTGTCTTTAGTTCATGGGCAAAATTGTAATTCCAACCTAAACCACGTCACTATTTAAACCCTCAGCTCCATCTGACCATCCCACACAACAACGTAACCAAAGCTGAAAGATTAGCAAACCATGACAACCCAATCTCCTCGCTTCCTCCCTTCACTCTTGCTCCTCACAGTCACACTCTACAACCTCCGCACAACCGCCGCCGCAGTCAGATCCTCCGCCGCTGCCAACCCCGACGCTGCCACTTTTATCCGTACAAGCTGTAGGAGAACCCTCTACCCCGACCTCTGCGTCTCCTCTCTCTCTTCCTTTACGAATACTATCCAAAATAACCATGCTATGCTCGCTCGCGCCGCCATAACTGTTAGCCTCTCCAGGGCCCAGAGCATGGCCTCCTACGTCTCGAACCTCCTCCGTCAAGCCAACAAGAACGCCGACTCCGGCACCGCCTCAGCCCTCCGTGACTGCTCTTACAGCCTCGGAGTCGCCGTTGATAACATCCGCGGCTCATTCAAGCAGATGCAACAGATGACTGATAAAAGCGCCGTTAACGGCGAGAAATTCAGGTTCCAGATGAGCAGCGTTCAGACGTGGATGAGCACAGCGATGACGGAGGAGCAGGCGTGCAGCGAGCGCTTCGACGCTTCACCGGACGGTAGGGTGAAGACGGATGTGCGCCGTCAAGTGACGGAGGTGAAGAAGTTTATCAGTAATGCGCTCGCGCTGGTGCAAGGTTACGGGAATAACGTGAGAAAACATTAAGATATTTGCTGATGCAGCCAAACTTTTTTTTGTAGCAGAAGAAAAAAGCTATATGCAGAGTTTTAATTTGTTTGTTAATTTGTTGTATTAAGTTAGGATAGAATAAATATGACAAATGTATGAATCTTCAATAATAATAATAATATAGCGAATGTATGACGGTGTCTAAACTTCTTGGGTATGATTTTTAGGCTACATATTTTCGTCCTGCGTACACTTATTTTATCACGACACATGCATATGTTCATCCTAAGTCTTACATATATATCTACTCAGATCTCCGGATTTAAAAATTTAATTGCTTATTAACGGAAATTTCGGCAAGTCTGAGATCATGGCATACTTCAAGATTTAAAAAGTGTTTATAGAGGTTTTCTCCAACAAAATCCTCGTACTGATTATGAGATTTGAAACAACGTCATTATAAAATATACCTCGTACCCACAGCCTTCTATTTATTTGCAAGGGAGCTTTACATGCTAGTAGATTACAATGTCATCAATGCAAAACTTCAATATTACTTTGCACTGGATTGAGTAAAGGATCTTGATCCTTTTATATAAGTTCTCTCCTATTTACCAATGGAAATTAGGTTTAGCGAAAGTGATTAGTTACTCATAATATGGTGAAGAATCTCCGCTGGGAGAGCTACCTATATTTAGTATTTAATAATGCTTCAAATACGATTATTTCCAGTAGAAGAACATAAGGGGGAAAAAAAGTTTTCTCCTATCTTCTTTCACCCTGTCAAAATTTGTTACTGTATAGGTGTCACGCACATTCTGCCTTTCTTTGTCCATAGAAAGGATCCTCGAACAAGTTCAAGAGAATATTCAAGACAACATTTGACATTGTGTGTGTGTGTGTGAGAAAGAGAGAGAGAGAGGGAGGCAGGGAGGTATTTGCAAATAAATACTCCTCCAGTCCTTAATATAAGACCCATTTAACTAATTTGATTAGATTAAGAAAGTTAGGTAAGTTAGTTAATTATAAAAAAAGTGACACATTTTTCCTAAAACACCATAATCATCTTTTTTAATACCTCATCTCCTTCTTCTATTTGATTATAGTTGAGGGAGTGTCTATAGGGGTAATTTAGAGAAAATTGATAAATATGAGAAATGGGTCTTATATTTAGGACCAAAACCAACTCAAGAATTGGGTCCTATATTAAGTACTGGAGGAGTATATGATTATTTAATCAAACAATGCAATTTATTATTACTAAATCAATTACGCAGATCTTTGTATAATAATAATAATAATATATATGAGCAGATCTAGAGAAATCTAACTGTAAAAGCATACTTCAGTTTTCGAGGAGTTGACCTTTAATCTACGGATATAGCTTTAATAAAATTGTATCACAAGCATGGACGCTCTTTCCTGTTTATGGGAAGGAACAATAGCGAACAGAGATGGAGGGTTTCGCCTTTTGGGGACAGTCGGTGCTCTTGTATTTTGGGCAATAACTAGTGCACGTAAAATTACACTACTTTTAATTCTAATTATAATACTTTTTTTATAATTTACAAACGAATTCTTAATTAATTAGGGATAGGAGGTAGTATTATCCAAATTGGCTCAATAGTCCATTGATGATTTCAGCCCCAATAAAAAGGTTTCAGATATGTTTAAAACGAGATGTCCCCCCCCCCCACCCCAAAAAAAAATTTCTGCTGAAGAAAAAGCTTAAATTGTTTAGGTTGATATTAGACGGTAAAAATTAAAAATCATTTTCCCATTTTAAAAATGGTGAATCTTATCCGATACCACTAGTTGATGTCTAGTTGCTAGCCAAAATCACCAATAATTGAGCTATTTGCACCAGGTTATCATGATTATTTAAGTTATAATACGGATTTTTTTTTGGTGAAAAAAAATAAGGCTTAAAATTTAAGAAAGTAACACCACGTTCTAATTCTTGAGAACGAGTTTGTTGAGCCTAAATTGATTTATACGCATGACAATCCCAGTAATATTTTTTATGTCCATGTTGACTAAAGATTGATTTATACGCATGACAACCTCAGTAATATGTCCATGTTGACTAAAGGAGAAGAAAAGTTTGTCGGTAAAAGTATCGGTCGCAGGTTTAATATTCTATTGGCCACAAATCTGTTTTCAATGTTCTCCTTTTTAAGTTTAAATTCAACCTCGCAATTTCGAGTTTAAGACCAACTGAGCCATGTACTGGATGTCTATTAGCTAAAAGTCATTTTAATCAACAACAATTTAGCTGAGGGAAAAATTTACTCAAACATAAAAAGACTCGAAAATTTCAGCTGCCACTTAGAACACGCATCAACCAAAATTTCAATTCATACGGCACATCAAAATCTAGCTATGTAGAATGCCTTCCACTCACGTGCCTTTATGCAGAAAAGTTAACCATAACCAGGTACGCTGTTCATAAGATTGCTGGATTGGATTTGAGAAAGATATGGATGAATAAGACAAGAAATAAGATTCAGCCAAGTCTCGGTTGCACGTACTTATGTAATGACTGTTGGAGCAGATCGACCTGTGAATTCTTGCATCTTGGAAAGTTTCAGTGCAACCTCTACCTGTATTTGACAAAATTGCATTTAGTCAAAAAAAAGGAGTTCGAGATTGGCAAGGATATTGTATTTATTTTCATTTAAATATCAGGGTTTAGAGATATCTTACAAGAGGAGCGAGCGCTTCTTGCGAAAGTCTCCCAGTTTTGGATGGATCCTTCTCATATTGCTCGATGTACAGACGAATAGTCGCTCCTTCAGAACCAGTTCCAGAGAGACGGAAAATCTGGGGAAGTATTTTGATTGTGAAGAATAATTAGTGAGCCTTAAAACAAAATGCAGGCTAGTTTTGACCTCAAAGACAGCTTGTCCAATTTCTTTACCGTTTGAGTCCAAGGAAAAAATAACACTGTTTTAGCAATTGGAATCAAGAGTACATGAATTTATCATGTAATGCAAGGAAAAAATGCATTACACGGCATAAATTTTTCATGAATGACTTGATTCAAGTTAATCTAGAGACACTCCTCGCATTAAGATAGCAAGAAATATGGCAGAAATAAACTTACCAATCGTGATCCATCCTCAAACAAATAACGGATGCCCTGGTGTGATGAAACGGAACCGTCCACAGGATCTTTGTATTCAAATTCATCAGCATGGACAACATTTGACACATCTGACCTTACTCCCTTGATAATCCTAAAAGCACAGTATAAAATTATTTAGTCATACGCATCAGAGCACGACTCAACCCTCCAATGAATTAATATTGAACATGAAGAAGCCTCAGCCATGGGAGAGAGAATCGAAAAAGTTGTGTGTGTTAAACTCCCACTGAATTAATCAATCTAACTACGTCTCACTTAGACATTCCATTTGGATACTAAGCAAAAAAATTGATATCTCTAACAGATTGTAGTTATTTTCCAAGCTCATTGAAAACACATTTGAACTACGATAACAATCAGAATTTCAGAAGGACGGGCGAAAAAAGATAATATACATCACTCAAACAAAGTACACACCAGTTTTCAAACACCTGTAACTTAGAAATGTCATATGATGCTCAGACAGGGTGGGAAAAGCTTTCAAATAAAAAGGAAAACACTTGAACACAATCTCAAAACAAAAATTATGTTGAAGTAAAAAAGTTCACATACTGATTGACTTCAGAAAGTGAGGACTGCAGTTTGACCAAATATGCCATCAGTTCCTTTGCTGCACCTGCATCCACATTCTTCAAGAAACAAACTTGATCAGTTTAAGCTACTTCTGACTTGGATTATAAATAACAGCAAAATGCAATCAGAGCATACTTCATAGTCATATCGAGTATAGAAATGGCGCCCATAAGTAGCCCAATGCTGAACAACTATGTCTTCAACTGTGACAAGTTTGTCTCCACCAAGCTTATCTTTATTTTTATATGCAAGAATAGATAACCAGGCCAGAACTGCCCAGATTCCATCTTTCTCACGAATATGGTCCGAACCTATTCACAAATACATAGTAAACAATATTCGTGAGATATAACTTGACTAGGCTAGAGATTCCTATTAAAAGTCTTAATACATTGCTCCTAATGCAACAGCAAACTCTTACCAGTTCCGAAGCTTTCTTCACCACATATTGAACATAATCCAGCATCCATTAAGTTACCAAAAAACTTCCAACCAGTGGGGACCTGGATTTGATGAAAGAATTACATGTGTCTAAAAGCAGCTAGCAAGCATATACTAATTTACAGATATTCAGCAGCATCATTACCTCAAAAAATTTCAAGTTCAAATGTTTGGCTACGACATCCAGGGCAGCAGATGTTGGCATACTCCTGCAAAAACATACAGATGAAAACTTTAGCACAGGTGATGGGTTCACATATTTAGTATAAATTGCTATTTGCTAATATCAAAGGTTGTAAAATATATTAAACGGTGGACAATTTTAAGAGAAAGGTAGGTTGAGGATATTGTTTATCTTCAAAAAATCATAAATCTCAAACAGAACTAATTAAAGAATTAGACTTAGGTCTGAATAGAGTTATCAGGCTTTTCATCACAATGGTGGCATGTGCAGAAACTTTTTTAAGGGTCACTAATGCAGTGATGGTGTACATGTGTTATAACTTCCACTGGGGAGACTGACAGGGAAACCTAATAAGTTATACCCAAGTCTCGTCCATTAGATAATTAATTGCACCTGTAATTAATGAGTCATTTTGCATAATATTGTTTGATTTTCCCCCCAAAATAGATCAGCATATTCTATCAGCACTAACCTATATGCAAAAGATCACAACATTTGTTCGTTCACATTTATATACCTCTGCAACAAAGTTCTCCTATCGGAAAGGATTATGTTGAGCACGAGCCCATGTTTACTTACTATAGGCAGAAGCCCAATAACTAATTAGTAGTGTTGAACATGTGACCATGGGCATTTATGGTAATTACTAAGTGACAGTTAGAAAGGGAGGGTATTTGAGAGGGAAACAGTGTATGAGAGGGGTATGGAAATTGTGAGTGAATTGTAAGGAGTGGTGTGACTCTCAAATGCAGTGTCCTGTTTGTTGGTGTAATTCCTCCATTAGATCATAACC